TGTTGTTATTATTATTATTTTTATTATTTGCAAAAGGTTAATTATCACTTAGCTAAGGATTCGTCTATGCTTATTCCTACTATTTTCTTATTACGAAAAAGGGAAACAAGACTATGATAAATGATTTAATACTTCTGAAATTATCTCTGTTGGAGAAAGAACTTTTTCAAGTTAATTAATTAATTAATTAATTAATTAATTTGAATTGCTCCAAAACTATGCCTGAATTGAGTTGCTTGTTGTTTATGTCAGTATATTTACCGGTATTGCGCTCATAAAGTTTGCACTACGATGTTGCGCTTCTGCTATGCTTCACTAAGAAGCACTAATATATAAAAATATGATTATATGATTATATATATATATATATATATATATATATATATATATATATATATATATATATATATATATATATATATATATATTTTTTAGTTTGTTTTATTATTGAAATTGTTCTAATAAAAGCAGTTCGATAGTTTCAAAACATGGTTGTCCTTTATTGCGTCATGTTATAATAATAATATAGTTATGATCTAAGCGTAGCTTTGATGTGGCAGAAGGCCGAAAGTATGAGACACCTAGTGAGGATCGAACTCACTTTTCAGTCGTAATTGATCTAGCGAGACAAGCTTGCTAAACATTACACCACGCCGAGGTGCCCATAATATAATCTATATATTTCAGATGTTCAAAATATACTACCAGATATCAACTTTAATTATTCCGCCATATATCTTGCTGACTTCCCTTTACTACGAAGCTGTGATAGCTTTAGTATTTAGGGCATTTTTTCTTAGTCATACCTGATTTTATGACGAATGTATCATCTTAACCAATCGTTTCTTAAATATATCATATCAGATGACAAAAAATGGGTTATATACGGCAATGTCCAACGCAAAATGCAGTGGATCGACAAGGATAAATTTCTACAATTTCCATCAGAATATGTCGGATTAAAAAGTTAAAAAATAATTCAATTATTCAGGCATTGTTTTGTTTAGGTTTCGGATACGAAACTGAGAATATATGCGTCGTGAAAATCTGAATGGGTAAATGTGCATTAAATGCAAAATAGAACTTTAATTGATTGTAAAGATCTTCGTAGCCGAGCTCTCAAGGTATGCCAGATTAAAAGGTGGTTTGTCCTGCAAAAAAATTTAAAAAAAGATAGATATATAGATGTCTCATTATTTGAAATGGCTAATTGTAATCGTAATTTATATGATAACAGTTTCTTCCCTTGAACTTCCCGCTAGTGGAACTCACTTCCGGCTTCTTGCTTGTCATTCAACTTTGTTCTTTAAAAATTTATCCCTAGAACACTAACCATCAATTAAAGTTACACCACTACTAACCATGGGTATATCATACCCGATTCTGAAAATATCAAAAAAAATATTAAATATAAATCTTTATTTGAAATATTTTACATGCAGGCACTTCAAACTTTGTACTTTGAGTTAACATTAATAGGAACTGAAAAACATTATTTAGATAAGAAAATCAGGTACTGAAAATTGTAATTAAAAATAGGAAAATTTGCGCTGGGTGCTACCCATGATTACTGTCCTAGGGTTAAATGCATTCGTTATCTTATTTTTTTTATAATTTTTGTTCTATTTTGCTACTTGCTTAATAGTGTATTTTCTTATAGTCTGTACAACTCAGTAGCTCCTTGACTCTTAGTGGTTTTATTGCCTTGCTTGGGGTGAAATGATTACAAAAAAGATGGACAGGTATTACTGTGTTTTATTTCTTTTATATAACATTAATTTATTCTGTTGACTGTACTATTTAGACATTAATCAGAAGAAACGGTTGAAATTTTTGGGACATATAATGAAGAAAATAGGTTTAGAGAATTTTACACTCAGTCAATCAGTTATCTGCCATACATGATACACGCTTAGGCGATCATGTATCTTTCGATACATGACTGACGAGGCAGATTTTCTTTTTCCCGCTGTAGACTGACATTTCTTTCTGCGGGAGACCAGTTACCATACAAGGCTATACAACCCAATATGTCTTGCTGTTTCCCATAGCCGGAGAGAAAAGAAGAGGATTCATACCTTTCCCAAGGGTATTAGTATGGAATTCGAATTCACTGGATATAATAAACGTAAGAAAAGCGGAGGAAATAATAATAATAATCGTGTTTGTGGGAATGAAACGCCAAAGAGAAAATAAATAAGAAAAGGACAAGTGTGATTTAGAACAACAAAAAGCAATATCTGAAGAGCCATGATTGCTCAAGTCCTTAAAGGCCATGTCAAATGAAAGAAGAACATCACACTTGCCAATTAACACACGCATTTATCATAAACACACTGAGAGAAACACGTGCACATATAAACATATATTCACAGATGAACACACGCACATATCAATATAAGCACACAGATAAATACATGCAAACATACACACACACAGATATGCACATGTAAACATGCACACGCGCAGATAAATAAACACATGCACATGTAACTATACATATTTACACAGATAAATACATGCACAGGTAAAAATACTCACATGCAGAAATAAACACATACACATATAAACATACACACAGATGGATAAAGACAAGCACCTAAGCATACACACAGGCACATATAAACATCTGCACATGTAAACATACACACGCACGTAAAAACACACTAGCAGTAGAACACGGCTTTGCCCGGCTATGTAACAGTAACAGATAGATCAAGTATTGACCATCATAAAGACTGAAAAATAAAATTGACAAAGATTATTGTTTAAGGTTGACGAACACGCATGTCTTAATTATTTTTTTTGTTTTTTTTGTTACGAATTGGTCAAACCCAAATTCAAACAAAAAACATTGTTTTCAATTGTTATGTGTCTACGAATTGAATAGAATTTTATTATAAACAATTGTCTTGTAAATGGAATTTCTAAAGCATTCTGAATGTAAAAATAAAAAAAAAAGTGTGCAAGACATTAAGAAACACTACCTGCCAAAAAAAAGTGAAGTTTTGTTGAAATCGGTTGAAAAATGTAGGAAATCTGATCCCATATATAAACGAACACACACACACACACACAACCAACCAACCTGGGTTTTATAATAAGTATAACTCGATATGAGTTGTCCCCCTTTCATTAATGCCTCTTAATAGTGTTTTCAAATTGATTTTGTGCAAAAACAATTGTGTCTTTCCAATTTTTGGCGCTGTCAGAACCACCGCAAAGTAATTTTACGCAGTCCTGTGAAGTTTTGTTGAAATTGGTTGAAAAATGTAGGAAATCCGATCCAATATATAAACGTACACACACACACACACACACACACACACACACACACACACACACACACACACACACACACACACACACACACACAACCTGGGTTTTATAATAAGTATGATGAATATTTAAACATAAACACGCGCAAACAAATAAACATATGTACATGTAACTCTACATATGTACACAGATAAACAAATGCACAGGTAAAAATATACACTTACAGAAAAAATCGCATACACATATAAACATACACAGAGATTGATAAAGACAGGCACCTAAACATACACAGGCACATATAAACATATCCACATGAGCACCTCGGCCTGATGTAATGGTTAGCAAGCTTCTTTGGCTAGAATAATTACGACTGAGTTGTGAGTTCGATCCTCACTGGGTGCTCCATGCTTTCGGCCTTGTGCCACATCTAAGATGCGCCTGGAAAAAAAAAACTCTATTCTATCATTGTTCGGCACTTCGACGTACGGGTTAGCTATCTTGTCTTGCTAGATCTATTACGACTGAATAGTGAGTGCGATCCTCACTGGGTGCTCCATGCTTTCGGCCGTGTACCACATCTAAGCAGCGCATAGAAAATCACTATAAACATATCCACATGTAAACATACACACGCGCGTATAAACACATGCACATGTCATCATACACACATACGGAAAAGCACATGCTTATGTAAACTTACACAGACAAACAGATAAACACATACGCGTGTAAACATACACTCGCATACACAGATAGGCGTAAACTAAGACATGCATTAATGTTTTCTGTTTGCTTTTCCAGAAAGTTCTACTGATCATTTCAATGTTTTTTGGGGTTTTTTTTGTTTTTTGATTTGTTTTTTGTTGGGTTTTTTGTTTGTTTTTTTTCTCGTTTTTTTTGGGGGGGTGTTCTTGTTTTGTTTTTTTTTTTTTTTTTGTTATTTTATCCGTTTTACAATTTTATCTTCCCAAATCTTTTGCCGATTTAGTACAAGACTGTTGATTTTGGTCATGGAGAAAAAATAAACATTTGAATGACTGAATAAATATGGCGGAAATGTGACGTATTGAAGGTATTTTATCACCGCTGTCTCCAATCTCATTCGATAACATTACTTTAATCCTGTCTCTGCGATAAAAAAAAATTATTTGGAAATACATCTCTTTCTTTCTAAAGAGCATTCGTCATTCTGCCAAATATTACTGATTCAATTTTTCAGATTAGAGAAGATGTGTAAAATATGATAATATTCTTTCGATAATGATGTATTTTAAAACTTTTAAATAAGATTAAGTTAAAAAAAAACATGTGTTATCAGATTTTTTATCATTGAATTCAATATTTAGAATTAGGGAAAGGAAGAATTTTTGACGAAATTAAAACCCACCAAAAACATATGGATTAAAAATCAAAAATCTTCCTGTAAAACGAATAAGTCATTATTTTTTAAATGCGTTAAGTTTTCATAATATTTTAAACCCCTAAAAATGACGGAAACTTTGTTTTATCGTTACAATTTCAATTTTTATTCAGTTATTGATTAATATTCAGTTCGATTTACATAAAAATGAATGTAGTGAGGTTTTTAATTGATTTTAAATATTTTTCATGAAGTGCCGCTAATGTGAATAAGATATTAGGATGTAGTTTCCGATTTTGTTCATCAAATGTATTCTAATAATTAAGTACCATTACATTTTATTCAATTCTATCTTAAGTGTTTAGATAGATAGATAGATAGATAGATAGATAGATAGATAGATAGATAGATAGATATTGGGAAAGAA